TTCCCAAAGCTGGTTCCTGAATTAGAAACCAGGGGTTACTGGGGGCAACGTGATTTACGATTTTCAAGTTGGGGATTATTTGTCTTTGTTTATAAAAAGAGGTAGGCTATTTCAGCCAAAGAGAAGAAACTTTGAAAGTCTTTAAATTTATTTCTGGTAACCATATTGAAGTTAGGGACATAGCCATTCTAAATCTTGCACAGAAAGTCTGGATGACTTTTGCTCCATTTTTTCATGCAATAAATTCTTGATTATAACATTATTTCTTACCTGCCTCTCCCCATGGATTGAAGCAGGGGGAAACAAATCAACAATTTACACAGCTAAACCACATTAATTAAAACATGCAACAGTTTAAAAAGACAGATAAGACACATTTTTAAACCGTCTCCATTTAAAATTCAGCATCTTAATTCACAGTTTAAAATTATCTGGATATGCTTACAGGAAGAGACTGGTCTTCAGTGCTGTTTTAAGTGTATTCAGCTGTTAGATCTCTTCCAGCAGCTTGTCCTACAGTCTAGGGGTGGCTGATGAAAATGTCCTCTGGCTAATAGTTGCCAACCTAATCCTGGCTGACTGGAGTAAATGTCTGCCAGAGGACCTTAGCGTATGAGGTGGATTATATGGGAGGAGGCAATCCTGTAGATAACGTGGACCCAGGCCATGTAGGACTTGAAAGATAATAACCAACATTTTGTACCTTGCCTGAAAACTAATTGGTAACCAGTGGAGTGAAGATTGGCGTAGTATGTCCACTCCTTAATGTCCCAATCAATCAGGCTGCTGTGTTTTGAACTAACTGAAGTTTCTGAACTTGGTACAGGCATAGCCCAGTGTACAGTGCATTGCAAAAGTTCGGCCTTGAGGTTACCAGCGTGTCCACTTCTGTCTTTAGGTCTTCCAGCTCTAGGCAGGGGCACAGCTGTCGTAACAGCCAAAGCTGGTAGTTAAGTACTCCTGCCCTGAAATTAACTCTTGAAATTAATTCTCCACTATTCAGTGATTTGACATAAAATAATAGTATGTGCAAGGGATCAGCTGTAGGTTCTCTCCATATGTTTTAATAATATAATTTGTTTCATTGTTTCAGGTACTGCAAGTGACAGCCTGGGCAGAGCATTCAATCCAGACTGGAAGTTGGTTAGAAGAATTAAACAGTTGGACATTTGTGGAGAAAATAAAAATATATTTCAATATTCTGTTTCTTGTGACTGAATATGGAGAAGTTATGACATTTCTTCTGAATCACGAGTAATTAAATATCTCTTAGCTATGTCACCTTTCAAAGTAGGATAATTATGTGGAGTAATTGTGTGCTTGCTTTTCCTTTACAGTGTAAAAATAGTGCTAGTAAACATCTTCAGGTTGTGTTTCAAAGCATTCTTTCCATTTTCTCCTGCAAACAGAATTCCTTGAGAATCTCAGGAATTTTATAATATAATGGCCATCTACAATCCATGTGAAAGCTTCTACTAGAAGAACAGAATACTATGCAGTTGAAGCTGTTAGCTTTATTTATTGTTTGCCAGTAGGCCCAGAAACACGGTACTAATTAAACTTCAGAATCTGGTTAGGGGATAAATGTGTGTTTTAAAAACACTCCCTAGAAATCGTGCAAAACAACTGGAAATAAAGGTTACATCTCTTTTCATTGCCAGTGGGTAGGATGTACTGACCTATCATAGCTCTATTCTTAGAGGGAATATACATTTTTAATTTTAGACAATTATAAATGCTGCACACAATGCTGTTCCTGTGTGGGAGGGCTGCTTATGAACTGAGTGTGCCTATAACTGGCTTTTTCAACTCACCAGTTGTAGTGGTAGTAGTAGTAGTTATTATTATTTGTATCCCGCCCCTCTTGACGAGCAATCGTTGTGGTTGTGGTGCAATAATTTCCCATAAATGGAAAAATAAAGCTATGGGGTTAGTTTAGAAATGTCGTATGTGTTGGACTTGTATTCTGCTTTTGCCCCAAAAGTAGGTCTCAGGTAGACTGGCAGTAAGGTCAGTTACTCTTTGACTGGCCTCAATATTACATCATTTTGGACCAGCTGATTCCAAATTTGTTTTCTAAGCAGCCCCATAGTGTTACAATAATTACAATCCAGATATGTGTAACTAAAGCATGTTGACATGGCCAGATGGTGTGTTACCCTCAGCTCTTGCAACTGCATTCCTAGTCACTGCTGAAACCTGGCATCACAGTTCAGACTTAAATCCAAAAGTGTACCCATAAACACCAGACATGAGTATAATCACATCATCCACAGGTTGAATCCCTGTTCCTTACTTTGAACATTTATCTAAACTTCCTGTTTGTTTGCTTTTATCCGTTCTATTGCTGACACTGGTTTAGAACTACAGTGGGCCCTTTGCATCCATTGGGGTTTGGTTCCAGGACCCAAAGTGGATATCAAAATTGGTGGATGCTCAAGTCTGATTAAATACAATGGCATAGTAAAATGGTGTCCCTTATAAAACAGGAAAATCAAGGTTTGCTTTTTGGAATTTATTTTAATATTTTCAGGCTGTGGATGGTTGAATCGATGAATATGGAGCGCTGACAGTACAACAGTTATGTTGAATTTAGAAAGAAGAAATTGGGTGTCATCATAGTTAATTGCACTAAACTCCAAAATTTTAAACCTCTCCCAGTGGTTTTGTATGGCTATAATATAAAATAGGTTTCCACCAGCACCACCTGGAGTTCCTCTCTTAAGAATGGTTAGATGCAGAACAAAACTGCCTCCCTAGTCCCCTCTGAGATAATCTGGAAGACAGTGATGGATGATGAAAACTGCTGACAAGTCCAATGGGACATGAGTCCATAACACCGTTCCCAACATGGTTGGTCTACTAGGTTGACAAGCCATTCCTTTCCCATAACCAGACAACAATATGGAATGGGGAGTGGAGATAATTGACTGGATGAAAATGCAGCTGAGTTCAAGGACAGCCTTTATAGTATTGATCTGGAAACAGGTATTCAACTTTATGTGCTTGGCCCATTCTCTATGGCTACTTTTGTAAGCCAGAATGAGCAAGGGTCCAGCACATACTGTACTGTTCCTTCTCCCTTTCCAATAGCTGGGGGCAGAAGTATCAACTGCTTTAACACCATTAAGCTTATTTCTCTCTGATAAATACATAGGAAACGATGCATTTATCTCAGTTTTAAGACGGATTCTACAATATGCTCTGGTTTGAGAGGGTTTTTAAAACAGCATACAACTGTAGAAGCAGGTTAGTAAATATAAGTGAAAAAGGGCACATTTCTGCAGTTTCTGAAAATATGGCTTTTAATAGGTAGAGTGACAATTTCTGAATGCCTGGTGCAAAGAGGTTTTCACATGAATATGGAACTGTGCAATGTACATAAAAATAAATATGTAGCAACAAGAGTCCATCACAGAACATGTCTCAAGCCAAGAAAAAAAAGCCAGCTTCATGCATGCAGCTTAGGTCCTAAACAGCTTGTTGGAGTGTAACTTCTAAACACAGCTGTTAAAAATAATTACAGCTTCCCCATTGCTTTTTTTAGTCTCCATTGAAGCCAAAGAAAATTATACCTTTCAAAATGCCAATATTTTCAAAAAATGTCTCATGCTTTCCAAATACTGTTCCATGAGAAATCTTGCATTAACAAATACCCTTTTCCTCGTAGCAGCCATTTCTAACACAATCTCCATAATAATAGAGGCTACCATTCTGAATTCCAAACTGGCACACTGTAATCAATGAACTTAATTCTTCAAGTTCCCACATCCAACTGTACATGAAAGTTATTTCACAGCAACCTATGCATCCATGCTTTAATGTGTTTTGAACCTCAGGTTCTTTCATTTCCTGCCTCTTTATTTTTAGATAAGAAAGGTATATTTCATCCCTTTTCCAAATTGCAACTTGTAATGGCTACGGAAGCTGTGCTTGGCCACATGGTGTTGCTTTTAAATAATGTTTTGCTTTACATGCTTTTTTTTGTTTTTAAAGAAATCATTTTTATCACATTAATGCCAGGATCAGGCCACTTCAAAATTAAAAGTTTAAATTCTCAGCCACAAAATAAGTACTGTATTACAGCTGTCTACATGAAACTTCTAGTTTGAGGGTAACAAATTGACAGCTAAGGTTATGGTAGTCAGATTTTGGCAAGTAATATTTATAGCATTCACTCATCTGAAATAGAAATTGGATTACAAGGTTAAATTTTTAAGAAGTAAGGAAAAATGATGGGCTAAATGTTACACCTGCAGATCACACGGATGGCATATCTTAAGAATTTCATGTATCTAAAAGCAAGAGCCAGTGTGGTGTAGTGGTTTGGGCATTGGACTATGACTCTGGGGTTCAGTCCCTTCTTCGGTCATGGAAATTCACTGTATGATATTGAGTCACACACTCTCAGTCCCTAACAACCCTATGATAGGGTTGCCATAAGTTGGAAATGAAGTCACACAACAACAAATATCTGAAGTCACTTCTGTTAAAGTGCACAAATGCTTAAATCTTGTCTGTTTCAAGTCAAACTAGTTAAATTATTATACCAGGAGGTACAAGGAAAGTGTTTCTATAATGAAAATATTTTAAATTAAACTGTATGCCATTTATTTCTCCTTGGTACACCTGTTTCCCAGAGACTGGAAATGTTATGTTTTGGACTTGATCTCCCTGAATCCCCATCCAACATGGATACTGGCCATACTGGCTGTGGAATTCTGGGAGAAGGATTCCAAAAAAGTTACTTTTCTAACTCAGCTCTGTTGTTGAGAGTACTTCTAATATGATCAACAAAAGTCTACATAATCAGGAAGTTAATCTGAGGCTGAAAAATGGAAATAGTTAGCAATGATATTCTGGATTTCTGAGGTGCTTTTTTCTTGCATGTTTCAAGTTATGTTGTAATGACAGTACAAATAGACAAACAGCTCAAAATTGTAAAAATTTGATGGTGAGAAAGGATATATGACTTACTATTCGGGGATTCTGACTGTGTAGACAATGTGGTGTTGTGGTTTGAGCACTGGACTATGATTCTGGACCCGGGTTCAAATCCCCGCTCAGCCATGGAAACCAACTGAGTAACCATCGGCAAGTCACGCTTTCTCAGCCTCAGAGAAAGGCAAAAGCAAACCACTTCTGAACCATCTTGCCAAGAAAACCCTGTGATAACCTTAGGTCGCCATAAGTCAAAATCGACTTGAAGGCACACAACAACAACAACAACAACAACGTGTATTTTCTTTTATATGTACCCTGGTATACATTAACTGGAATGACCTGGAGTGCTTCCAATACATTTTCAGATACAGAGGAATCTATATCTGGTTGAGCATATTCTTCTGTCTGTTTTTAACAGGAATACAGAGAGGCTGGAAGTTTTTTGACCAATGCAGTTTTCTTCTTTTCCTTTTGTGAAACACAATGATACTTAAAAGCAGGATGAGAGTACAGAAAAGGCAGCATCCAAAAAATATCAGTGGCTTTTTCTGCATTAGAAACAGGCAGAGAGTACAGGGTGCTTTTTCATTTGGTTGACCACACATGTTTGTAGGGTTCGAGGGGAAGCCATTGTTGCTTATCAGATGGTTGTAGAACTGGACAGAAGCCTTGGCTTTGGATTCGGAGGTGAAGAATCCAAGTTTGGGTCTGCTTATTTCATCAGTCAGTTTAAATGCAAAATAACCTCTTACGTTGACTTTGTCGATATGGTAGGCTGAAAACAACAACAAGAGGCGAATGTTAACTTCAGTGATGTCTTTCTACTGTGTGAACAATAAAGCTGTTTTACAGTACTTACAAACAAATACATATATGGTTTTCCCTTATTACTCGTACCTCACACAGTCATCCTCAAACTATCCTATCCCCGTTTCTTTTTATCCTTACAACTCCCACCATTTCGCACTATTGAAATATAAATTATACATGTCTCGGACAAAAACTTATCTTTATTTATATAGTTTCACAAGGTTTATTGGTTGTGTGCCAGTAATAATGAATTATATTTATAGCCCACTCTGCCTTCAAGGAGCTCAGGACAGATAGCATATGTGTTACGTTGAAGAGACAATTACTGGTTCAATGTCACCTGGTGAGCTCCATAACTGAGTGAGAATTCAAACATGCATCTCTAGCACCAGAATTACAGTGGGTCCTCCACATTCCCTGGGGTTAGGTTCACAGGACCCCTGTGAAAGTAGAAAAACTCCAAATTAAAGAACATACTACTTTTTTTTTAACCTGAGAGAACACCTCTCTAGAAATCTCTAGGTCCTCCAGTGTAACTCTATGGTCAACATCTGCCAGAAGTTGACCATGGAATAATGCTGGAGGAACTACAAATGCCTAGAGAAGTGTTCTCTCTATATATCTCTAGGTCCCCCACTGCAACATCTGGTCAAG